TTATCCACCAGAACCGACAATGCTGCAGGACGAGACAACGCGCTACCAACTGGTCCTGCAGGTGCGTCAAGACGTTTACACGGGCAAGCTGCCCTGCTCCTGGGTAACCCAGGCCCTCCTCGGCTCATTTTTCGTCCAATCAGAACTCGGCGACTACGATCCCGCGGTCCACTCGCCTGGCATTGACTACCTCAGACAATTTGAATTTGTGCGAAATCCCACTGAGCAGCTGTTGCAGAAGATCTCTGAGCTTCATGTTACCCATAAGTGAGCGAGATAATTTCTTTGATTTTGTTTTAATTTATTGTCTGTGTCAACGGTGTCCCCGTTTTATAACTTTGAGGAATTTATGTAATAAGCCAAAACGCATCATAATTTTGCCAATTTTCGCAGCGTACTACCGCAGCGTCATTTACTAAGAGAGGCCATTTATTTCTTCTACTGATTCTTTAAAAATAGGTAGATGAACAATTTTCGCTTACGTAATTTTTGGTTAAAGATAACTTCATCAACAATTTTTGATGCAACTGCTCAATTAAAATCAAGTTCCGTAAAGTGATTGGCTAAAATTTGAGATAAAATGGGCCGCATTTTCATTTTTCGTTCTCTTGTTTGCCGTAGTTCTGTCAAGGATACCTTCTTGTTGTAAAAATTATATTGTCACCAGGCAATCTTCAGATATGCCGCTTTAATTATTTGTTACTTCCACATACGCAAAACTATTTTTATCAGTGAAAACTTGGGGTATTGCCTACCTGACCAATCGCTGCATTTGGACCAAATCAACTGGTGTTTCTCTCACGCAGACTCCGACCAACTGCACACCTTTTAAAGTTCATGCTCTCTCTGATTTTGTAACTCAGTCACCTCATTTTGTGCATTATCTTGATGCTTGGGTCTCTCACTAATACCAGGTTTAAGTAGCATTTGGTTTTTGAGAAATGCAAAGCTCCACAAAGCGGGTAGAAGACTTGAAATTTTACGGGAGAACTATGGAGTTGAAGGAGCAGTCAAGCAAGCGATTGCTGGGTCCAACGTTTTAAAAGTTAGGGGTGTGTTTAAAGTTGAGCTAAGTGAAATTTGGGGCATAGTTCCTGTTACGTTTGCCCGTAACAAAAGAGAAGACCACTCAAATAACGGTACCAGATCCCCTGCTGAAGCTAGATCCGACCTTTCCCGGCTAATACAAGAACAAGACCAGAGCTCGAGTAGAGAGCTTTATTCACGTCAGCCACGTGCAGAGAAGAAGTGAAATCGAAAGTGAAACGAAACTATTTCAAGTCAAGGTTGACCTTGACTTGATAAAAGCGTAGCAAAACAAATGTTAGTGAATAAATGTTAATCGAATCAGAAGCCAATCTTGGGGAATTGTGGATCCCCAACAGTTCCAGTCAAAATTTGAACACCCATAGCATTTGCGCCCAGTTGCATGTCAAAACCGGCTATGCGACGTGTCCCGACAAGACTTTACTGACCAATGTAGGATGACTTTTCCATCAGCCATCAACCAAGGTACAACCTAACCTCTTCATTCTCATTTGTTTGCCACAATGACTGAGATTTAATCCTACGTAGGAAAAAGGAATAAATATTTCACTAAGTTAATATGCATAATCCAGTGGTATAAACTGAAAAGAAACTTTTCTCGTGTAGTATGTCTCCAAGTTATGTCCCGCAATCCTTTGGATTGGCGTTTTATTTGCAATCAAGCAGAGAATACCGTCGATCCTTGTTAGTTTATTGGTCTGGCGGTGGCGGTGTAATGTGAGTGATCTGACGCATCACCTACCTGCCTGCTATCAAATTAGATTAATTAGTTACTCTTCACTAGCCAATAAAAGTCGACGAATCTTAAGTAGTATATAAAGATCTGATGAATTAAAATTAAGCATTGCAAGTAATTTTAAATTCACGTTGTTTCGTATTAATAAAGCCAAAAATTCTACTTACTGATTAAGACTTGCACAGTAAATGCATGAATTTTTGTAATGCATGCCTCAGTTTCATCAGCCATCAACTAAACGGGTTTTTTTGGCAGCACAAAATTTTGGCCCTTTTTCAACTCATTTGTTTGCTGTTTTATGGTAATGAAAGTACCTTTACAATGCTGCAGGTTACTTTCCACGTTCTAACTATGCAAATTTTTTTACTTAATCACGTTTCTGGAAATCAAATTACCACTGGCGGAATTTAATCGATCATCTGCCTTTGTCTTGATAGGGCAACTGCCCTCTAATCCATCATTGGTTGTTGATCCGACCTTTACTTGACCAATAGCGAAAACGTCTTTTTGACCATCTTTTGAGGTTATCAGGCAACGTGTTTTATTACTTACGAGCTACTGATGCTGTTTAAAACATTACGCTGCGGTTTAGATGGGTCGGGCGATGCAGAAACTGCCAATTTTAGCTCCTTTTCAGATTTTGTTTGAAATCGTGAGCTGGACATTTCTGACTAATAGTCCACCGTACGGCTGTGGATTCCCTTCCAACTCCTTCAAATTGAATTTGTGTTTTCTCCATAAAATCAAAAAACGTTTTTGGGGAAACTGTAATAAATATTAGTTGGAGAATTTGGTCAACAAAAATCACTAAATGGGGCTCAAAGGATTCAGACGTTTGTCAGCATGACTCATCACTGATTTTCGCTATGAATAATTGGTTGCTAGTAATTGTAATACGAGAAACAACTTTAGCAAAAGCTTGTGACTTTTCTACACAAATTATCTTACTAATAGTACGCAAAAATCGGTTTCCTAATGTGTCGTCCAGTCACATTCTCAATATGCCTGCAAACCACACTAACATAGCCCACAAATTTTTATACCCAACGGTTCACTTTAGGATATTGTAGGGCCCCACCAATCTATGATTGGACATTTACGACGTAGTAAAAAATTAGAAAAATCAATAATAATTTCAATCTTTTGTAACTAAGAGGTATGAAGCCCGGACAGGCAGACATCAAGTACTTGGAGACCGCCAAGCGACTGGACCTCTACGGACTGGATCTTCATCCAGCGAGAGACATGGAGAATGTCGAGATCTACATTGGTGTTGGCTACAGCGGCATCGTCATTTATCGGGATCGCGTTCGTATTGGGCGCTTCGCGTGGCCCAAGGTCCTGCGGATATCTTATAAGAAAAACTACTTCTACATCAAGATTCGTCCTGATTACGTGAGTGCTGACGGATTGACTTGTGTTTTAAAAATGACTTTCTCCGTTTTTGGGTACTTAAATTCCTCTTCAAGACGTTCTGGTGTTTGCCACACCGTTCATTTAACCAACATGCTGGAGGACTCCACGACTGTTCAAAGGCAGAAAGCGAATTAATATTATTTCATTAAAGCCTTCATAATTAAATTTTAACAAGAAAACATGCTTGTCTGTACTGCCATCCGGCTTTGGAATAACACCTATTATTCTTGTTACGTCAATTTAGACGGAGCCGGAAGAGGCAATAGTTGGGTTTGTCCTTCTAAATCCGCAAATGGCGAAGCGATTGTGGAAGACAGCGGTAGAGCACCACGCATTTTTCCGACTCAAGGAGCCACGTGTGGTGAAGAAGGGTCCCCTGCGATCGCTCTCTGGCTCCCGCTACCAGTACTCGGGGCGAACCTTCTTCCAATACCGCACCGCCGAGATCGATCGTCCCTCGGCAAGCTCTGAAGAGGGTCGGCCGCACCAGACGAGAACCGCCAGCGTTCCTGCAGCTCTTAATCGAGGTCGGTTCTAGCGCCAAATCTAACCCCCTCTTCAGACATTACAAACAAAATTGAAAATGCTAAAAAATTGAGAGATCCTAGCTCCGTTTTTTTAGTTTTCTCACTACTTATGTCCTGAACTCGGTTAGTTTTTGAATCCACACTGTTGACAAAACCTTAATCGCCATCTAAGGTATCGTAGAAAGAGGTGAAACGTCAGGGATGTGTGTTTATGTAAAAATCCCTGTCCTTAATATCGTCTTGTCTTCAGCTGGGATTCGCTACAACAGCGTGCATTCGCTGAACCGAACTCATCCTCGTGATATGTCGCTAGGAAAGGCACAAAGCAGCGACTACTTGGGACCGACAAGACCGGTAGGGTTGTTTGGTTTTTTTACTGAACCGATAACCCACTCTTGGTGTTTTCTTACCTCAAGCTTGACGCCTTTTGTTACAGGTTCAACAACCAATCAGAAATGAGACTCCGGTACCTCGCCAAATCGAGTCATCGCGACGCGCTCACCAACCTCGCCAAATTCCAGCAGTGCGCGCCCAACCGTCTCAGCCAATCGCAAGGAGGTATCATCACGCGCCATCGCCGATTTACCACGACAACGACGGCTCGCTCTTCGATGGTGCGAGCACACGGGGCGACGGATCTCTTCTTGAATCAGGTGTCCGCGCCGCAGACTATGAGGTGAGCAATTCATTCATTCAGTTGTATTCAACACGTGTGCTTGAGGTCGATTCACTGAGGCTAAGTTAAGCACAATCGGATTGAGATATGAAAATCACTTACCTTTGATGCTTCCTTTTCAAACTTGACTCTTATTTTGCTTGGTAACCAGTTGTGTGATGGCTTGTGCTCTGTTGAAATAATATTTACAGTACGACGAATAAAGGCAAGTGTTTTTATCTATTTGTCTTCAGCTCCTATTACCGTCGAGTTGATTTATCAAACGGGTTTGGCGAAGTAGGTTAGAGTTCGATTCCTGCCTAGAATGGCGTTTATTGGTCGTTTTAGCCCATACGATTGTTGCCTAGTAATTCCGGTAAAGTGAAAGCTAGAATTTTCCTTTTCAAAACAAGATTATGCTTCAGTCCAAGTTTGCAGAATTTCGGATGTAAAAAGGAATTCAAATGAGGATTAAACGCCTTCAGACGCCATTATTTTCACTTTTGAAAACGGCAGTTTTCTAAAATTCACCTTCAATGTTAACCAATTGCTTTAACTTTAAAGGTTTGCAACGCCGTTTCACCCTGCAATGGTCTTAAGTGTATTTTTGATTTGCCTTGAAGCTGATTGTGACAAGAGGATGACTATAAAATAGCTCATCAGAAGCTGGCAAAACTACACTAACCTTTATGTAGATTCGTGTCAAAATATTGGTTAAAATTTGTGTCGATCACACGCCGTATTATTGCCTTTTGACGCAAACCACTCACGCCTCTCAGTGAATGGCACTTCGGAATGCCAGAAATATGTCATGTGCCTGAGTGTGGCATAATTAGGGCCAAGGCAGCTGCTCGTGTAGCAGCGATTCTAGCGACAGTCAGTGGTTCAATGTTGATAAATGGGCCGCAGACTTTGAATTCATCCTATTTTACCATCTTCTTAAACAAGATTTGGTATTTCGTGCCACTTTGTGCATTTTTTTTCAAATGTCAATTGTCTTGGATCAGGTTTGGCAAGAGAATTGTGTAAATCTGCAAACCTGTGGCAGTTTTTTGGCATTTCGAATCTAATTAAACGTTTTAATGTTGTTACAAGTTTGGAGGTGGCGTAGAATTTAGCCCGTGTGCCACTGGAGCTTATGTAATTACGCAACTTTGAAAACACCACTTGAAACCCGGGTTAGATCATTTAAACAAGAACACTTAAGACTAAATTTATCAAATGTAGTTAAAGTAAACTAAGGTTGGTTTTTTCCTAAAGCAGTAATCTTATTTCTTAAAACGCTTTGAAGAATGTCAGTTTTTATTTCAAATATGTCGTTTTAGAAGAGTTTTTGTTCCTCGTCGGATAAGAGAACTGTCAAAAGATATTCAATTGCTATCTTAAACTCTTGTCATGTTAACTGCAAACTTGCAGTATCAAAATTTCAGCCCTACAGAATTTACGTCGGTTGAATTTCGCGCGCCGTTAGTTTGTGATAAAAGTTGGCAGTTAGATCTAGCACAACCCACTTTGGAAAAAAACGCCTATTTCCTCTACACTTATGCTCTCAAAACACCTAGATGCATGTTTATTGCAGATTTTGCATAGAACGGAGAATTTCCGGTCATGTAGCAGCTTCCTCAGAGTAAATTTCTAGTTAAACCGGAAGCGTCTGCTTCCCTTTGCGTGTTCCGAGAAAAATCCTTCTTCCTTCAACAGTGAAGTCTTTGGGGTGGTGAAGTTTTATTTTTAAATTCATCAGGGTTAGCAATAACTCAAAACATGGCTTTATGTTTGTTCTCTTCATGGCATGTGAATATTGACACAAGGTAGAAACTTGAATACCACACAAATCCTTCTGCATTCACGTGTACCACTAGAGTTATAAATGCAGGTTTAAAGTACACGGATTTGCCATTATTCTTGTAGATACTACGAAGTCAGGCTTATGGAGATTTCCGTTTGTATTAGTTGATATGCCCTGCCGGCATTTATCGGTACTTCTTTTGAGTTTGTTATGTCATGCATTACTAACTCAAAAATCTCTATGTTCGTTTCAAATTGACTGGCCTAATATAAAGTACTACTAACTGCATTTCTAATCAAGTGACTACTTCGAGTCGTGTCACAAAGTCATAAAAAGTAATACGAAGTCGATTGTTTTGAACAAATGAAAGATTATCTGATCATCTTAGAGAGATCTTCTGTTTTTAGGTCCCACGGCAACTAACTGCCAGCCAGTTTTCGTCCTACGCTCAGGAGCAGGAGGAGTTGTCGGTGCTGAGTGGTCTAGACACCAACGGGGACATCCCAGTGCCCGAGATCAATAACGCGGCCTGGTCCACCACGAACTCCTACAACCCCCAACCCTCACCCAACCCCTGGTCTCCGAAACCTGACGACTATAACAATGTCCAGCCGAATCAACAACAATACGCCAACCTTGGCTACTCAGACGCAAGCCAGGCGCCTCAACGGCCAAGTCGGCGTGCGATACCCTACGTTCGGCAGGTTAGATCAAGCCCGGTTTGAGAGTAATACGCCGGCATTAACTGGGATTGTAACTAATTTAATGAACAAATCAATAGAACCAAGAGTAGCTCACAGATGACTGATGCAAAATGGTACTCTTCGCTGTTCACTAAACGTTTTAACCTGTTTGCTGTTCATTACAACCACTTTGAGAGGGTGATAATGCTGAACAAGTCACAGGCCATTCTGACTCAAATCCATTCTCTGTAACCTCTCGTTGAATGCACGTTTCCAGTTACACAGAATGTACATGACTGTCTGCTTATTTGTTGTGGTGAGGTATATTCATTGTAGCATCTGGTAATTACTAAATTTAAACAAAACCAAAGGCATAACCATCCAGGCTACCGAACCCCAAATGCCTAACTGCGAAAACCGATAATATTCTGCGTAGTAAAGTTTGAAATTTGATTGGTGCGTTAAAAATCGATAAATTATCAAGCAAATTGTCAATCTGCGTTCCCTCAAAACCTCGTATTTTACATAGCACTAATACTTAATAATTTTGTGCATTCGGAATCCAATCCTTTACCTTCTGCGGTCACTTTGGGATAAAAAGAAGCCTCATTCTCAATGACGGCATTGGTTGTCCATGTTAGCACAAACGTTGTAGCGATATTGCGATAGTTTATTCAGAACTCTTGTACCGTCATCAATTCAAAAAGGAACAGCTCCTAATATGCTGCAATTTTCACTCATTTTGTGCCAACACAAGATACAATGTGCAGCCAACTGCCCAACAGACCACTTTTGAAGAAATGGATTCTAATTTCATTTTCGTTTGTTTCAACCTCAAATCCATAAATAATGGCCAAATATGTGTTTCCTTCACAACCGTCATGTCTGTACTTCCTGATATTATTATAAAATTTGTTTTCAAAATTTCTCTAAATCCCTATTGCATGTGATTTCTCCTCTTATAGTATGTTTTTTTTTAAATTAAAATGAACAAAGGTAGTGTGTTTTCAACAATACCCTTAAATTATCAACTTTTGTCTAAATTAAGAGTCTTTTTTTTCACTTGAGCATCAAATGAACTCAAAATATTTCAAATACAGACAGAAAATTTAGACTACTAAATAACATATACTTAATACGGAAAACTGGAATTGACATAAACTGCAACAATGGGTATTTTTATTCGTTAAATTTAAGAGCCCTTAAAGAGCCAAAATCCTCTGATCTACGTTACGTGAGTGCTTAAATCTTCTCCCGCTGAATTAACCAATTACCATCTGGCTTGTTTTGGTTACGTAACCATAGCGAACTAATTGGCTTCCTTGCTGTTTGAATTTGTTATTCCTGCGATTTGTTTATTTTGTAGAACCACCGTAGGCGCCAATCATTTTCGTCAGATGAGGACTTTCTCTAAAATCATCTCATCTGTCATCTGAGTTAGTTGCGTCTTTTGCTCAATTTATTTGCATAACATGCATTTGGTTTTTCAGTAACCTGTACCTGTGATTCAGTGACGGCTTATGTATATCACAATCAGCATTAAAAATGATTATTTGAATTCCACCATTTTTTGTCGCGTGTTATCTGCCTTCGGGGTCCAGATGCGCTGCGACGTCTACAAGTTAACTGGATCCGTCTCCACAGGCATTCGGTGGTTGGGGATGGTACAAATTTGCAACGGTTTCATGTTTTTAATGGTCGAAGTAGAGAAAAACGCTCTTTGCAGGAGATATCACTGACATTCAAACCAATAGGCCAATAATACTATTAACAATGTTTACCAATAATAATGATGGTGGTGAAGATGATGATGATGATGGTAATGACAATAATGTGGATTCGCAAATGCGACTAATGTAAATAAAAACGAGGATATTAATTACGAGACCATTAAACTGGCAATAACGATGTACTCTTACCAGGAGTAGTACATCGTAAAAAAAATAGGCTGGGCAGTAATGTAAGAAACGGGAGTATTAAATGCAGAATGTATCAGTGCAAATTCCCAGTACACTTCCATGGAGGAAAAGGCAGATTTTTATCGCAACTAGTAACGATGTTGAACATTACCAGTGGTTTTTTGACCATATTGTCACCAATTAATTTTAGAAAGAGTCAAAATATTTATAAATTATGCACAAACAGGTTGCAGCTTACACACACAAAAATCCACTTCGAATGATTAATTGTAAACCATTCTTCGTGAACTTTGTTATTACGCAGGAATCGGCTTAGTCTGGTTTACCTTGTGGACTAAGAACTATTTTAATAAAATATGGATATTTATGATGAGATGGGTGTGATAAAAATAGCTTAGGTACCCTCACAAGTTTGTTGTGAACCAGAAAGTTGCATTTCAGTTTGAGTTTTGAATATAATTTTTACAATTTGCAATTCTAGAACAAACGGCAGCTAAACTTAAGTATGCTTCTTTCTCCATCTGCAAATTTTACTCTAATTTTAAAAAATTCACATTTGGGCATTTAAGCATGCATATCCTGGATTCTGGGTAAGTTTACGGTTAAGTGTGCACAAACTCCATTGTGAAAATTCAGTGGTAATCTTTACTAAAATATACTTCTGATTCGGTGGAAGATTGGTGAGTACTTGATGCAGGAGCCTACCACTGACTCACGTGATAAAATGTTGAAGACGTGGGGTAATCTTGATTTGGGGAAATAAAACTAGCTGTGCGACTAATTTAAACGCTGCAAACACCCGTCTAACGCATAAGTGACTGTGTTAATTGGCATTATTAAGTAATATATCTATGTTTGTCGGGCAGTAAGATCAGTATTGTGTCGCGATCGCTATCAATTTAATTTACCCTTAAAGGAACTCTATACACCAGTTACACATCAGAAAAAATTCAATCCACTTTCGCATTTGAGAAGCCACTAAGATGTGACACAAAATATAGACACAATCCAATTAGAGATTACATGACAGTGAACATAATAACAAAAGAGAAGGATTGTACCAACCCTGAAACCACGCAGGTGCCACCGAATTAGCTCTGGCCCGATTACTCTTCCCTGATTCCCGCGATGAAGAAAAAGACCGAAGAGGCCGTGGACACAACCGTTTACTTCAGATCTCAACCACGTTGGTGTCGTTGTGTCGTGTGTGGGGTTTGCGCGTGTGCATTTATACCCTAGATGTGTGAGTCATAGATGAGGCATCCTCTTGACCTAATTTTGAGGATAATCCAAGATAGAGATTCGTGCAAATGAGGGGGGAGTTGGGGATCAGCGCGGCTGGCGATACGCTGTGAAAAGGGGAACCCTGTGTCGGGGGTGGAGCGACCGGATTAAGGGGTGTGAATAAACACGATTCACAACAGTCTATTAGAATATTAAAAGTGCTGTTGCAATAGGTTGAAAGAGGTGAAATTGGTTGCTTATTGACCACCAAATTAGATTTACCAGCGGAGAACATTATGACGCCAATGTAATACAAACCTTTACTGAGCAAATAGAAACATTTCTAAGCAAGTTAGTTGGCATGTAATATCATTCGATTTTCATTGACCTCACTCAAAGCAAATTAAGATAAAAATCGACAAGAAATTAGATTGTACAAAGCAGTTGACAGTCAGTAAATGCTTTTTAAATAAGAATAGCCAAAGTCTTATTTTAAAAAAAAAACGATTGGTCCTCATATTCTAACCATTCTTTTTCCGGCATATTAGGTTTTGTCACGGTTCAAGTAAATTGCACCGTAAGGAAAAAATTAATAGATTGCCACAACTACATGATGTACTTACTATTTGTCAGTCTTTTTGAAATTTAACTTATTCTAAGCACATATTTAAAGCTATTTCATCACTTGCTTCATGATTATAAGCAGTACACCTCCTTTTAAAGATCGTTTCTGCATTTAGGCACACAGATAGCAATGATTTTCAAAATGAATTACTTTAATTTGTGTAAATAGCCTGTCATTAGTGTTTTACAAATTCGATATATAATCTTAGTAAATAAGTGCTTAGAAATTTTTTAGCTAATTAATGCACGTTTGATTGTATAAACTTGGTAAATTCACTAATATTTCGTTGCATTTTCTAACACTTGAACCGTGAATTTTATTTTGATGTTAATTTCTTCTAAACCATCATCAGTTGAAATCTGTGTTAAGTATTACTGCCACTGAGCCGTAACTAGAAAATGCTCCTAAAATGCTTCAGCAGGCACATTGCATTGATGATTTAAATATCTTGCAATATAACTATTTTGCGTTCTTCGTGGTTGAATCACTAAAACTTAGCTATTCACCGATTCAACGATAACTACTTAATACTATGAATTTACTTTAATACCCCAGATTCTTGTACGTTTCAGCTAGCCATTTGAATTATAATTCAATAAATTCTACTTCAGAATATTTTCAAGTGTGTGTATTAGCAGAATACCTTTAATTGTAATGGAATAATGGTAAAATATGCCACTACTCAGTTCGTCACCCCTTAGAAGTCGATGGATACAAAGTTTCTATAAACGCAGCAGCGTCTTACCCATAATTCAACAGAACCTCCTTTTCTCTGATTTATCTTAGTCTCGAACCTGAACTAGATAACTTCACCTAAGATTTGACACCCGGTTGCCTCGCATAGTCAAACTCCAAACCGATAATTCTGATACCAGGAAAGAATACTTTGCTGCACCATAAACAGCAGCTGTCCGCGACCACTACTGTGCAATTACAATCGACAATTACTCTTTAAATTGGCCTAATGAAAAAAAGAAGATTCTTTCGCTATACCATGGAGCCATTCTGAATCTCGTTAATTCTTGTCAATTTAAAAGGCAAAGGTATATCTGGAGAAACTGTTTGGTCACGGCATGATCCTCTGATAAAGTACATGGTTCTGCGCATAAATTTTCACTCTATCTTCCCTGTAAACAATTTTATTTCTGAGAAACTTAGAAAAGCATTTATGTGTTCAGAGTGTACTTACCATTTCTTAACTGTAAAAATTAAACCAAAGTCTAGCAGCTATCCGCGTTAAGTGTTTTACCGAAAAAGACATATATATCTTTTTTGCGTCTTACAATTGTTCTTTGTGGTCTTCATCTATTAAACCTTAACAATGACATATATTAAGTTAAAAATAAAATGAAATTACGCGTTGAAAAAAATTAATTAGCCTACCTCGACGTGATTAAAGACGTAGTAAGTATATTTTTCAGAAAAAAATTATCCTTTTTTATAGAAACAGACAGATTACATAATGCCATGTCCTTAAATTTGAATTTGAACCGAATGGGTTCCTTTTTCCGTCCGTAAATTTAACCAATTAACGTCCTCCATGCACCTTAAAAAAGCATATACGCAGTCTAATGCTATAAATCAAAGTTTTGGTACCGTAACAAACCTCTTTAGTGAAAGGTTGTTTTGATGGGCTGTTAAAATCACCGCTTGGACTGAGCTTGGAGTTGTGGCTGACCGTATCAAAATGGGCCTCAAAGGCACAGTTAAACCATCATAAATCATACCATTTAGGAATCATTGGTTTAGCCTTTCTGTGTTCTATTGGATTTACATTGGTTCTAATTGCCTGCATCTATCTCGGGAACAAGTTTTTGTTTCGATTACACTTTACATTAATTTATTCTTGATTAGTAACTGGACACCTCTATCGGTCCTTCCTTTCTATATACTTGCTCCGGTTCCGCTTCTTCTTGCGACATGCGGAAATACTGATAGGGGAGGTGCTACTTGGAGCACTTTGATCTTCATTCACACCGTTCTAGTCGTATCCTGTTTCGCCCTCCCTATTGTTCTGGCTCACGTTCCTCTTGGAAGCCCAGTGGTACCTCCTTTTGGCCTCACTTTAATCTGTTTAGATTCCTTGGAGTGTTTGCGGTTTGACTCTAACTGGAAACGTGGTCGTCCTTGCTGCTCTCTACATCATTACCAACTGGTGCACCTCACAACCGACATATTAGGCAATCGTACCAACCAGCCACCATATTCACGTGCCTTCCTTCAGTTATATGCAGGCACTTGTAAAAGGCTCCCACAATCCCGACTCTCACCGGTTTTGTCTTATGCTACATCGTATTAAGCTTATTTCATTCGACTCTATCTAGCCAGAACTTTCAGCACGTACGGAACTCGATGATGATAATGCAGCTGCCGTCTCAAACAATTTGCATATAAATACTTCGATTTTACTTGTCGTTTATCTGTCTAATTTACATTGCGAGTAGCACTTTTACTTACTACAACAGGGGAAACTGCTGCAATTGTCACTCCTAGCGTCGCCACCACGAGGATTGGGCATGCACTCGTGATCATTAATTAACTTTATTTCACAAACGAAACCTCTGATTAGAAGAAATAACAAATATATTAAGAGTATATGCTGTGAGAAGGGGAGATGAGTTGGGTGGATGGGTTGAGAATTCCACGACGTAGGGTGACGTGGACACAACTGGTGGTAAGGCAGATTGGCCGCCTAATTACGTAGGGCAGCGAGCCTTTAAGCAAACGGAATAATCGAATTTGAAAAATCAAGACCATTGGTTTGGAAGCTATTTAAAAAATCCTACATTGAGAAGTGGTCGCGCAGGTGAACGCCCACTAATGCTAACACCATTAGGGGTCGTAGCTTGGTACGTACTTATGCTTATGAGGGTTTTGCATAAAAAATACCCAGTTTACGGCATTTGAAGCCGTCAGTTATGCCTAGGTGTTAGCGAAGCAGGAGGCCTATAACATGCGGCTTCTGTTGGGGTCGACATTGCCGTGTGACACCACCATGGTCCTACTAGACTGACATAGAAGGGGAAATCAAACCAGCTGGCCCTCAATCATTCCCACACAGCCGCGGGGCAACTCAATCAAGTATTATGCATGGCACGGGCACAAGGTGCCAGAAAAAATGGAAATGCGAACCTTTGCGTGAGAGCGTCGTCAGCCTGGGAGGTTCGTTCACCAGGGGTAGGACTAGCGATGGAGTCGGAGGGGACTTGTGCGCCCGCCATTGCAGCCTCCACCTCCAGGCCATTTTCCTCGGCTACCTAAAACGTGTGGAAGTAGGCGTGAATTCGGGCTCTTGTCACAACCACATGACGTTTACTAATTTTGGTGGCGTGGGTGTATGCTTAGAAACAATTATTCATGACAGATACTTGAACCAACGGTCTAGGAAGTAAGAGGTGCTCCGTCACCTTAATGGGGCTCAACCTAACTCCAGTGATGCGTTCCAGACTCACCGATACCTTGATTTTAATTACTTTTGAGGTCGCGCTGCGGAAATAGCACAAGACGCATGAAAAACCGCATTCTGTGAACACACGCACAAAATGGCACGTGTAGTTTAACCCCTGAATAACGACAAACCAGTGACAGCAGATCATTAACACCTACCACAAATTTCGGTCTACTTGTTGGCATCATTAGCCTACTCTGCTGGCGATAGCTTAGCGAAGTACGTTGGGTTCAAGTGAAGGGATTTTGGCATCTTTGTCAGAAAACTTCTAATGCTGGATTGCGGTTTCGATGCTTTTTGTGCTTTTGCATACGCGAAATCTCATTACACAATATGTGCACATGCAGACCAAGATGTCCACAAGCCATTAAAACCATAAACACATTTCTGAGCTTACAAATTCAAACAGAACAGAAAAAATTGTGAGAGGATCCTGATACTACTAATAATGTACTTGCTTTAGGCGAGAAATGGTCCCGTGTGACATTTGCAAGCGAAAAAAACACCTGGCCTTATTGGCACAGAAAAGTTACTCGTGATACGGGGCTTCGGTTGACACGAAAGCAACCAAGAATCCAAATAACAGTAAAAACAAGGCGCTTTAGCGAGTGCGGCATTGGCGCTGTAGTTAAACGGTGGAGCGGGCTGTAGGAGGATGCCACGTGAACTGTTGCCGAGCAACCGGCTAACGAAGTACGTCAAAACAACTCACAACAAAGGCCCACTTTAAGAAAAGTCGTAGATTGAAAAAATTGCCCCCCGAGAGGTACTTGGTTTTTGCATGAACTCCAATTTCAAAGCATGATAATACTAGTGAATGGGATTTCTAGTCTATCGAGTCATGTAAGTTGGCGAAAATGCCCTATTTTCAGCATTTTCTACGCATTCATTAGGCACTAAATGCGGTTCTGAGACGCCACAATAGCAATCAATTTATAGGATGGCATTTTCGTAGAGGCTTCTTAAGCGAACACCTCTCCAATGCCTAAGAAGCGTAGGCAAGTGAGCGCGTGGGCGATTGCAGCGTGAGAGAGCCCTCAAGGAGAGCACATCCGCACGAGGGGGCGTCTGTGGCAAGGGGCAACTGATTGGAGCATGCCACGGCAACTAATTAACGGGCATACGTTGGCGTCAACCACACAAGACTTCAAATGACTTTACGCGTCTGCCATTCACGCTAACTCACTTCTCAGACATATAACCGATCTTTTTGAGTAGTTTTGAACTCTAGCTATAGTGATAGAGCTAAAAAGCTTCCTCAAGTAAACGCTATAGGGCGAGGCAGATATTCAATTGCACACACCCACATACAACGGACCTATTATCTGTCAAGAACTGTAACATGAATAATGCCAAGACCACAAAGATTTTCGGCTTGACTTGACGTCCTAATCAGGGAGCATACTCCCTACTAGGGCATAAACAACTTACAGCTGCAGTTTCCCAGGGCAAACTGTCACCACTCTTATGCCATAAATTTAATTGTTTCGAAAACGTGTTTACCTCCAAAAACTTGCGTTATAAAGGCAAGAAGACATGATAAATAATTTGAGTGGAAATTCCGAGATATTGTGTCAACCAAATGTCCTGAGTGCAGATTTCTCGTCAAGCGGCCACAAATCTCACGAGGTTAATATTTTGGTGCCATAATAAAGAGCAACTCAAGTTCTAGAGAGGTAAATCTCGTATAGGCGGGGTAATGGCAAAAGTAGGTTCTCACACAGATCCAGATATTGCAAAGCAAGCGGAAAGCTAATCTCGATGTGTGTGACAAAAGAATCGCACGAGAATTTCGATACACGTGGCAAGACAAATTTTCGACGAAGAGGTGTGGGTTTTAAAATAATGCACACTGTGCATTAAGTAACCAGGAATTTCACAACTGTGAGAAAATTTATAAAACCTTTAAACTGGCAATGTTATGAAGCCATAGTTCAAATGCTTTGCTTGATTACCAGCTACTGAACAGTTTCGAGAATTAGGAGCATACCAAACACTATGTGAACACGCAAAAATCTCAAATCTATAATAAAACCCCTCGGTTTAATATTGATTATTTTGATTTAATGCAATGACCATTATAAAGAACTCAACTAAAATTAAGCTTTTCAAATTCAAACGTTAACTCACCCTTCCAATGCATAATAATTGCAAATAATGACCAAGTTTGCATCTACTTTATAAAGAGGCTTTTCACAAAACAGAATAACGTGCTGAGGCGTTTATGAAATACAATTAGATTAATTTGGTTTTGTCAATCTTTTTTAAATGAAATCTGGCCTTTAAAAGATGATGCTACCAGCATTTTCATATTAGAGTTGCATTAAAATCAAACGAAGGCAAAGTGCAAAAATAAGGACAGCCCACGATTTTTTCGTTGATGGTAATTTAGGTGGCTGTTTCACAAGTAAAAAAGGTTTATCACTTACGACTTCAAGTAATAAAAGCATACAAAAGACCTCTCTAGCCTTTGTTGCTTGGCTGGAAAAAGTAAACCGTAAAGTAATCTGACTCAGTTGCCCGACAGACTTTTTAGTATCGTACAGGAAAGAAAAGAATATAAGCGACAGGCATACTTAAGCTACCACGTACCTGCTTAATGAGATTTTGGATTTCATCTTCAGGAGCAGTTGTGGCCATCGCAGAACCCATAGAATCTTCAACGGTGGAGGTACGGACATCAAGATCCACAAAAGTCTTTTCAAACTCTCCCATCACCCTTTCAATCTGCTCTAGATTCATTGTTCCCATCGTTGACTTTAACCTCTGAGTAACGCGGCCGATGTCTTTAGTCATAGACTTCATGGTTGTGGCAGTTTTAACTCGTGCTTGCACAGCATCGAGTCGAGATGCCATTGTCATATACTGAATGCTCTCCCTATGTTTTCTAATAGAATCTTCTGCGTAGATACGAGCTGCATCAACATTTTTGGCTTCCAATGCCTAAAGGTTATAACATGTCGCAATAATATACCTTCTTCAATTTTGACCGATATCCCTTTGAGTCAGATTCAGCCTTCTGAGCATATCTAGAGAGTTGTTTACCACTGAACCTAAGATCAAAGATAATGTCTTGCTAATAAACAAACATTTTACATAGTTACCTTCTAAAGAAGGCTGCTTGAACAGATGCATCTTAACAAAAACAGACGAGGAAGAGAAGCAAATTAGCAATTGGTCACAATTGGTAATTTATGTGCGTGTAAAATTATATGACACTTTTAAACAAACCTAGGGTTTTGTGTTTTACCGAATATTTTTCACTTTTTTAGTTACTACAATTGTGAAAAGTAGATCAGTTTTAAAGTATTAGGGAGGCAAAAAGGTTTTAGATGCAAATACGTTTTGAAATCTACTAATGCAAAATGTACCAAAATGGCTAGAAATAATTAGAGTTGATTAACATGTCTCATTATCAAGTATTTAGATTCTCCATCTACTTAATTTATATATTCCGATAACTTAGGTGTAGTTCTTAAATAATTAAATTATCTCTAGCATGCGAATTTGCTTATAAACTTTGCTTAGACAAAACCAACTATAAGTTGCCCCTTAAAGAATTTTTTTAAAGTTCTAAGATGTTCTCAACATAAATCGATTTTAATATCGTTATTTCACATTGCTAATTCAGAAATAAGGATACATGCTACTATTCCAATAAAACTCTAGTTAAGCCCCAATTATTGTTAAGTATCCAGTAGGCTTCCGTGTGCTATATGTGTGGATGCAACTGAATCACACAAATGGTCAAATATATGTTGGCTCATAGAGTTGACTACCGTTACCAAAACAAATGTAATTGCATCGTTTTGATGTATGGTTCTGCAGTAGAGCCAAAAAAACTAACTCAGTACCAGAACCACGACTTAATCACCGATTGATTACCTAACTGTAGCGGAAACAGAGAAAAATTTGACCAACAACATAGTCGAAAAATTGGAAAAATAAACATAACTTGAGAACTGATGGGAAATGAATGCATTTGTTTACGTTACTTACCTAGCGCTAGATATTATAAGAAAAATACATTTTTTTAAATTCACAAGAAGCATATGAATGCCTTAATGGATGCGATATTCTGTTTACATTGTCAAATTTAATTTGTTTATTGGAAAATAGTCTTCACCATGGTTAATGTAAAGTATACAGTATTTTAACTGGCAGCGTATAAGCCCAACTACCCTATTAGATTCTTAGACGGCTTTGCTTTCATAATAGAATAAATTTTCAGTAATACTTTGTAGTCATCAAAATTACTTGAAGGCAATCTTTTGTTAAGTTAAATTGTATATATAATAAATTCAAAACTAAATTAGCAGCGATTCGTGCAAAGCTGTAAAGTAAAGACAGCATATGTGGAATTCCAGAATGTTAACATTTGATCAGGTTGAATGTTGACATTAATTCACCGTTGTCGCATAAATTAGCGTCTCTTTTATTTGTTAATCTTCGCATGCAAATAAATCATACTACAGCAACTAAAGCTTGCAGAACATAATATGGAATCATTTATGGGTTAAAATTTACTAGGATTACAAAGCACGGACAAAATGTAAGAGTTATCATACTGACGGAGTTTAAGTTAAAAAATGTTAGCAAGGATGCAAAGAAATGAGAAAATTTTGAAAATTTACATTTCTAGTGATTCCATAATGGAAAGCACACGGTTATTGTTATGGGTGCAGCTCGTTTTAAGGCTCTACGTGTCTTTTACCCTAATAATTGGATTAAAATTGCATTAATGGATTTCAAAGGAGCTTGAAAATGCCGTCATTTTTATTAAAAAAATGGAAACATTAAGAATTGATAGAAGCGAATCACTTTGGACTTAATAAAAAAAGGCTGTTGTACCACTTGCTTAAATATTTTCGTGCATTTAGTATAATGTTATTAACTTCATGAATTAAATATCTGTTATCGTGCATTTTAGTTTATTCTATTTCAATATAGAAAAGAACAAACCAAAAATGCAAACTGAATGCATGAACTACCATTCAAGAGGATAAATAAATTTAAAGGGCAAAACCTTCGATCGAAATTTCGAAACAAGGTTTATGGGTTTCAAGAAGAACGCAATTCAGTTATAATGGCGCAATCACTCTATTAAGGCTTTGAAATTCTTTTGACAGTTGAAGGCAAATTAGATTTGTTGATTTAATATCTCTTAACAACGCGAACTAGAACCGCACTCCACCTTAACCAATCACACAATCTGGCGGCTTCGAAATAATTTTTGGAATATTATAAGTCTGCAGTTGCCTGTGATGGAAGCTATGTCATTAAGTGTGAACAAGATTGTGGAAAGTCACATGTGCAGCCTCCGCCAACGCATTTTATGGCACACCAACTTCCCTCAAGCCGATTATCTTATTTGCTCACTGACTTCCATTGGATAAGGCCACCAATAGCAATTGCCCCTGTGAACGTCTGCGATTCTTAAGTGAAACAGAGCGTGGATTACTTAGCTCCAAAGTGGATTCAAGTCGCTTCGTGAGTTTGACGAGATTACCATGCTCATCCGGCATCCCAATAGGAAATTTAATACCCATCAAGCTCGATGACATTTAAATCGTTTCAAGCCAATTCCAAACATTTGCTGTTTGTTGATGCTCTTACTTAGATGGCACTACAAACCCTGAAGGCGTGTTTCCGGCTTCCACTTTTCGATTATTGTTCGCCGAATCTCTGAACTTGCAGAGGGACACGCGTCACTTTGAACAAATGCGAAGCAGATTCTGCTGTGGCCGGAGGCGACTAGAAACAGAAGACCTTATTGTGGGCTCTAGCATGTGGTCTTGCACCCTGGCCCGAGTACGCTTGCCTAATACCCGCGATGAAGAAAAAGACCGCAGAGGACGTGGACACTACCGTCTACTTCAGAGCTCAGCCACGTTGGTGTCGTTGTGTCGTGTGTGGGGTTGGCGCGTGTGCATTTATACCTCGGATGTGTGAATCATACATGCGCTAACATCGAGACCTAGGGGTGGGGATACTCCAAGATAATTATTCGTGCTAATGAAGGGGGAGTTGAGGATTCGCGCGGCTAGCGACATGCTGCGACAAGGGGAACCCTGTGTAGGAGGTGGAGCGACCGGATTAAGGGGGTGTGAATAAACACGAGTCACAACAACCTTATCATTTTGTGTACGGCAGTGAGTCGGGACATGAAATCGTGCGACTGACAGTCAATTCAACGAACGAATGTCAACTCTCAAGAAGCTAATTGGACATGAAGCGATTGAAACCAACACCAATTCGAGAACTTTCCTGAGCTCATCTCACGCTTCCACAACTTGTTTCAACAGCAAATGAAAGTGGTTAGCCACAGCTACGTCGAGGACCTCTTAGCTTCAAAGGCCAACCCAATCTGATCAATAGTGCAGCAAATATCTGCATTATAAATAGTGAAATGCATATTCATGTGATGAAAACGCCACTTCTAATGCTTCCGAATAGGAAGCAGTCCTTCACAAAATGCTGTTTCGCGATATCTCTAAATTTGGCTGGAATAGCGGCAGCCAATAGCGTGATTAGGAGAACGAACGCAGTGCAACTCATCCTTAAAAAAACATCTACTTTTATCACCCTTAGTCGAGCAAAACGGAAGCATTACCTAGTGCTGAGAGCAGATTTCGGTACAAAAAAATAATGCTTGCGAGCCCCGTATTACACCTCGACGACCGCTTCAATCGAGTCTCCAGACACCGAGACGAGAGACTAAATTTGGACATTGGCGAAAATAAAATATAATTTGAGTAGAATGTGACCTCAAGTAAAAATAATAATAATAAATAACAACCACATTTTGACTGCTACAAAGCAGGCCACCACCACCGGTGGAAAAGAAAGCAAGGTTTCCGGACTGAGGAGCCCGCGTCAGCGGTGCAGATGCGCCTGTGGATCTGGCAGCGCACGAGGGGGGTGATGGACCGACGGCAGAAGCTGTGGAGTTCCAGGATCCACGGTAGCGGCGGTTGGAGGCGGGGAGGGCGTGAAAGTGTAGTGGTTGGACGAGATTGTACACCGAGGGAAGGCTGCTCTCAATGAAAGAACATCAGGCAGCGAAATAGACGGGCAGTGGGATATGTCGAGGAAGGCGAGTTTTCGACACTGGAAGAGCAACCGGCGGACGCAGAGCTCGGTAACAAGGGCGTTACCAACCAAATCTAAGTCTTCTAGTGAGTTGTTTAGGCAGTGGGCGATGGCAATCACGTCAGCAGGTGTCACAGATCTACGTGGGGGAAAAAAGCATGTCCTTATTCTACTGCAAGAAGTTGGCGAAGAAGTCAATTTTTTGTAAAAACGTACCGGATGGCAGTGAGCGACATGACACGCAGTTTGTTGCAACGCATCACAACCTCGCGAATACAATTGGACGACTGAGATTCAAGCCCAGAACACCAGCCCAAGTCCAATCGAAGCAAGTTAGGGCAGTGTTCGGCGACTTTTAGCAAACCCTGACCTGTTAGATTTTGACATCGCCACAACACAAGCGACTCCAGATGCCTTAGAAAAAAAAAAGAGTGAAAACGAGGCCTGACACCACAGTAGGGTGCATTTTCCGGACGTGAGGTGCACAGTTCGAGTGTGAGTGATCTCAAATTATCACAAATGCTACCTCAATTTGCCAAGACAACTTATAGTGTGCCTATTTTCCTTTACAAGGTATGGGAGTAAATTTTAAGCGATGAACTTGCAAAAACACCACTTGGCATCAAGTCTGAGGTAGGCTAAAGTGACAAGAGCTGGCCGCACACAGAGAAAAGTCGAGAGAAAATAGGGATTTGGGGGTGGGAACGACGGAGCTCACTGATTGGTGGAGGTGATCTGGTCGATGACGTTGTCAGCGTCCTCGATTAAGACACAGGCGCCAAGGTTGAGGTGCTGGAGGTGTTGGCAAAGATTGGCCAAGTTAATCAACGCAGCATCCCCCACTTTCGTCCGGTAGAGACTGAGCCAACGAAGGTGAATTAGCCGGCCAAGTGGGATGAAACCATCGCTGGTTATCGATCGACACGACGAGAGGTCCAGTTCTACAAAAGGGCCAAACAATGCGCTGTTTAATTCTAGAGCAGTTCAATGTAAGAGCAGGTTGAAAGCCTTGAGCGACGTGCCTCGCAGGAGGCCACAGATGTTAATGAGCTCCAGAAGGCACTCGTCGTTGACCATCTGGCATGAGGACAGACGCAGGGTTGTCAGACATCGACCCGCCTCGGCCAAAAACCGGCAAAATCCAAACGTCGAAACCTAAAAATATGCAAAGCCAAGGCTATCAAAACAACAGAACTGGCCCTTTTTATGTTGAATTGCGATCGGCTTTCATCCGATGTGAAATTGGTTTAAGAAGGCCGTTTTTGCATATTCTGATGTCAAGTTCTACACCAAATAACCAGCTGCAAGTAGGTCACGCATACGTGAAACAATTGATTTCATCGTGTGTGAAGTAAACATGGCCAGCGATTCCACTTCAAGGAACTCCATTCCTGCATAAAGCACTATAAACACCACAGCTGATTTCCAGGACACTACGCCATTTCGTGCTTCTGAAAGCAAGAAGCACAGGGAGTTATTTTTAACACACCACGTGACCCCGCGTGACCGGTAGTACGCAGTTGTTCGGTGGCGTGATTTTGCATGCCGTGATGAAGTCAAAACAGCGCGAGAAATAACGCGGGCAGCGTACCACGAGCCAGGTCTAACTGTGGAGGCGGCTGCATTGCAGCGGATCATTTGGGTAACTTAACGATTACAAGACTATTTCGTTCTGTGTTAACGTGCTAACAAAATACAGAAATGCAGTGTACTCCCGGTAATTGGATAACTCTGAGATCGACTCTCAACGCGATTCGATTGTGCCAAAAAAAACAGGACGTTTTGGCTAGGTTCCACGGTGCTGACGACGTCCAAGATCCATACACTTTAGACGCACGCCATGCACATAATGATGAAAATGATAGGCACAAACTAGTCCAGACTTAATTAGCCAAAAGTCCAAAGCTGTGCTACGACCGATAAAGGAGGTGATTATTGTGCAATAAAAGCTCAGACTGTAAGATTTTATGTACTTACATGGAAATCGCATTCAACTACTACGAATGAGGGCGTTACGAGTAAAAATAACGAACCTACGGCAGGCTATACCAGGCTTTTTTTTAGAAAAAAAAACTATTGCATATTTAATCAAATTGTCACCCCACCATACCGACTGGTAGTTGCCACACCAAGAGAAATCAAAGCGCTTGAGACGCGGATACACTTCGGGACTGCGGGTGCCGTTTTTGTCGAGGAGGAATGAACGAAATTTGCCTCCGGGAGGAACACCGCCGGCAATAAGCGTCGCCCACTGCGTCACCCCCTTCACCGCGATGCTGCTCCATGAGGGATACTGTACGCATGTCGACTCTGCCTGCAGACTGCGGTCGCGTGGCTTTTTGCACGATTGTGACATGAAACTTTTTCGTGACAATCGAGTGGACAAGGAGAGAAGACTTGCGTCCGTTGTGGTAGCCCAAAGGGCCTGCAAGTTAATGCTCTTGAGTCGTGCCAATGACTCATCCACAAGGTAGTAAAAAGTGCTAAAATACAGTGGAAGACGACATAAAAGTGATGGGGACAAATCCTGACTAGAAATCAATTTAAACATGACAATTAAAGCATTACTTACCGACACACACTGGAGATCCGACAGAGGGTTTGGAGATCAAAATAAGAAAAAATCTGAAGTAGAACTTCGGGCTAGAAGAAAAGGATGAAGACGGGATTAGCACGACTTGTTAAGCCCAACATTAGGCACAAAAACAAGTGCCTGAATCTTGACGAACAAAATAGTAACTTTACGAAAGTTATTCAAGTGTTTTTGCTAAATTACAGGCACCCTTTCAGCTAATTTTCTTACGGGTAGACGAAGAAGAAGACAACTTGGGTGGCTGAAGTGGTTTCCGAACGTAGACAGAGTTGTCTGGTTCATGAGAGCCATTGGAGCCAAGTATGTGGGAAATTTGCATAGCGCCATAGAAAGCGGACAAAGCATTGAATTTTGTATGTAATCAACTTCCATCGAAGAACCATTCGCATGCGCTACATCAGAGAGATTGTCATCAATCCCGTCCAAATCGAGCTCCTGTCGGTTAGAGGCACGTAGGGAGTAATTGATCCCAAGAAACCAGGCTACGTTAGGGTCAATTTAACATACATTGGTAGGAGGTGGCAGACAATTCGTTAGGGGGATGTCGTTACACGAAGAGTACCCAGAAGAAAGAGGAGACCCTTTTATTTCGCCGTACGACATGTTGGGATCGCGTGGTTCGAAAGAATGACCTTCGGCATACATTTCTGATTGCATTTTTCGAAAGATTTCGGCTGCTTCATCGGAAATAGGTGCGTAACCGTTCACTAGAATTGCATCTAACTGTGTGTAATATGCACATCGACGAATATCAAGCTCAATGCGGACAAGATCTGTCGGAACAAGCGGGATATGGGACTACAAAAAGAGGTCAGTTATTTGAAACAACCACTGTTAAAGAAGGTTTCATAGAGATTTTGGACACGTACCAATACTGGCTCAAATATTCTGGCTCTTCCTAACTGAACAGGATTAACAGAACTGGCCGGCAGTAGTGAATTTCCTCCGTCAATTGCACGAAAATTAGACGGAATTCCGGCATCCGCAGCCTGCCACAAAGTAGCCCAGTACATTCCTCGTGCATTCACTGGGCGGTCTATCGGTTGATCTCGATAACAAGCTCGGATAGCTACAACCGCGCCTGGGAAAAATGTTTCGAATATCCGCATAGCAAATATTATGAGTGGACGCTCGAAGAATACGTCAATGTAATCAGTGCTTGTGAATGTTGAGGGACCGCCACGAATCGGTTCCAAAGAGCCCGGATAGCTCTCCCATCGAGTGCCGAAATTTAGCTACGAGGATAAGTAGTTATAAGCAAAATAACGTTGAATAAAAAAGTTCAGAAACTACGGATTTGCTTACAAATGCACAGGAACGGGTTGAATCTTCAAAATTTGGGTAGATAGTAGGAGGTCCCGATATATTTTCCGCAACAAATGCAGTTCTTCCATCAGCTCCATACTGCGAACTGCATTCAATCACTTCTTTAACGTATAACTGAACCCATTCAAAGAACTTTGCTCGCTGGCACATCGAAAAAGAATACACCGGTTTGCAGACACCGCTACATTAAATAACCTTAAGGTACCGGGAATTTTCTTTAGTTTAATTATTTAAACAAAAGTCATTCTGCAAAATGCGAGGAGACAGGAATTTTAATGTTTTCTGTATTATTGTTTAGGTTGTCTTTATCGTTTACTTTTACCGTTTGAATAAAACTAAGCTTGTTTTAAATGACCTGAATTAAATGTGATGACAATGATGATGATGCTTGCCCCTCAATCGGATTTCCCCACATCTGATTGGCTTATTGATCGCCCTCATATGTTCGAGCTGTCATATGTGATCAATGGATGATTTTATTCAAGAACTCAGGCACACCTTTATAATTTCTGATGACACTTCTACATGTGAAAACCTGTGTCGTGATTATGATGAATTCTTAGCTCAGATCGCAAAAGAGTTTGTCGTTCCACAAAATGACTTTTTGTTTAATGTAGGGATGAAACATCAAGTAACCCATGCAGATATTCTCCCGAAATAATCTTCACTCCCAATCTGGGTAATCTCTTTGTACGTATTTACTTCTTGTAGAGTCTTCTAGGTGGAATTATTTATCTGAACAAAGGCGCCAATTAGCTCTCGTTTCGAATAACGGCATCTGTCCATGTTATCCCGAAGGTGAACATTTCTATCGTTGTCAAGCTCTCAGCAGGTGTAGCCGGAAGTATTCCTGCTTTAGCTAATGCAGAACCACTACCGCCTCCTCCGCCTGTTGATAAATCAAAGAAATCTGCCCTGACAATTGCCCTTGAGAAATCTCTTTTAAGCGGAAAATCCGCTAACGCCAACAAGTTTATCGATTATGCCGTCTTTGATGGACGCTCAGCAGATGGGAAAAGTGCTTCCATACCAGCGACCCGGTCTTCCCCTCGTTTGCGATCTTTTTTGATATGGTTTTGGCGTGTTCCCGGTCTTCCAAAAGTATCCATCTCGGTGCTACCGTCAGCTTCGTGTACAGTGAAGGAATTAGTTGGTTTATCTCTTTGGCAGTACTTTAACGAAAACCCCTCTGCTGCAGCCTCATTCAACAATGAATCATGCCATTTAGATAAGGACGCAGCGTGAGCTCAAACTGCTTCCAAACTCCTGAATTTTCTCTCCGTTCATCCTAGTTAACTTCCTTCGTTTTTTAGGTCACTGGTTAATCGAATAGCCGTATACATATTTGACATGCATGACGATGTAGAGGACTTTCCGCCTCTTCAGGCTTCCGATATCATTCACAAATATGAATTTGATGCACTTGCATTGGTAGAGAACGTTGCCATTGCTCCACCCAACAAGGAAATGAATGCAGTGCCGTTGGTTTTCGTCACGGTGTAAGTTGATTTTGTGTCGCAATTTAGCGTTTGAAATGAGTCTTAACCTGTAATTTTGAAAGAGCTGCGCATGGTTTCGCTCATTCAGCTTCCCGAATCGTTTTAGTATTGGACAAATTTGGGCCCAGAAATGTGCTTGTAATGCCCAGGTGCAACCGATTATATCATTGTTTTTTTAAATGAACTACCTTTTCATGCTTTGCCTGAACATGTTGGACTTGCTTTTCGATGTTTGGTACCTTTTTGTATACTACACGCTTATTTTCTAGTTAGCACTGCTCGCCCACAAATGTTTACCGCAACAGCTGAGCTAATACCTAGCATAACTAGTCTAAACTTGTTGGATCAAACACAGAAACTTCATTTCCCCCAACTTTCAAACCTTGTAGAAGATCAACGAGATTAAAGCGCATATACGGGGCCTGTGCATATTTGCCGTTGTTTCTATTTAAGCCATTTAGCTCAGGGAATAAGTCTCGTGCGTTTCCCAGTTTCTGCAACCCTCGAAACAGTTCTCAACGAGGCCATAAACCGGCGTAAACTGCGTCAGCACGAAGGCTACGCCTACCATCTGGAGCGGTGGGTTGATCCTGAACTGCAGCAGCAATCCGAGGACCAGCAGTCAGCGCGAAAGCCCCTCGATCCCAGCCTCACCCTCGCGGACTGTCAAAAGGACAACATGCCACTTCGGTTCGTCCTTATCCGCGAACACAGTGAGCTCTCGTTGTTTGCCTCGCCTCATGAACCTAGTTAATTCAACTAGACCCGGGATTCTAGTCATGGTTTGCAATCCCGCGAAAATAGACCTCTTTTAGTCTTATGCAATGACATGCTTGCCTTTCGGTTCTCGGTCTTCTAACCGTTTGGCGTGGCGTCCAGAGTGTATTTAGACGTCACGTGATTGAAATAATGTTTTGCTTGAGTAACTGCTGCGGCATTATCCGCTTTTGATGGAAACGGTCGTAGTTGTTGTCGATCATGCCGAGGTCACAAGTTTTTTGGGTATAACGAAGCTGTAGAGAAAACAGTTTTCGACCCATGATTTGTTAAGCGAGGCTTGCTACATCGGTCGTTTTTGACTAGACCTCCGCTAACACCCATTGTGAACTTTTTGTGTTTCTAGTACCAATACCTATTAAACATAGTTAAGTCATTTCTGTTTATTTCGGTTGAAGTTCCAGAAGAAGCCTGTTTTTAGCATGCCATGCAGAGTACATTCCTCGGCTTCGTGAGCTATGTGAATGTCTAGTAGCTCTAAATGACTAATCGGTGGGAAAGGAAGCTGCCGCTTAGGTGAATCTATTCTTATTTTGCAGTCGTTTAAAGGTAACAGATTGGATGTAACGCGTCAGCTGCCTTTTTCAGATTTGCTGAAGTAGCCCTTGCAATTGGTCGTAATTCATTGCTGATGAAGGACTGTCGTAATTTCTATTCATGTTAACTTATTTGTTGGCTTTGCTAAATTTTCCTTCTCAGCTAACCTGTAACGGGTCCTTTCGTAAGTCGCAAGCGATCTTGGCTAGTAGCCACTTTTTCGATACAATGGTGCTAATTGCAATCGATGTATGACTTGATTTGTGTAGATTTTTAACCAACTTTATTTAATATGAGAAAAATAGAGAACAGTGAACTTAATTTTGGAAATGCTGTCACAAAAGAAAATCGCAGGCAACGAAGCAATAAACTCATCACCGAAGTAACACACACCGTCCAGCGTTTTGCACTGTCTATCCACTAAGGCGTGCTGCATTGACTGTAACAGCATAATCGGAAAGGACCAAGTCTGGTGAATATGCCGCGTGTGGGCGCACTTCCCATGCCACGTCCATGAGGGTCTTCTGAGGTGGTCGAGCCTTGTCACACAGCAGCAGTATGACCTAGCTGCTTCCTTGTCCAATGAATGGCTGTTTCTGATCAAGGTTTTATTTCATTTTGTTCAGTTGTAGGCTGTAGCGTTTCGCAGTTGCCGTCTGACCAATTTCTAGGAGTTCGTAATAATGTACACGCTTCATGTCACATTAAATATGCAGGAGAACCTTCTTTAATTGGGTGTCATGTTTCAGCGTCGAGGTACTGGGCTGCTTCCCAGGGTCTACTCGCGACTTTTTACATTTGGAAATCTTGTATTAAATATACTTTTCATTATTCGTCACAATTTTCACAACAAGTCCTTTTTTTGGTGGCGCATAAACCGTGAAAGGCATGAGCTCACACGTTGACCCAGGTTTGCGTTCGGCCACCACGCTTTTTTTGGACTTTTTTCGATCTGGTGATGCAAACGCTTGGAAGCTGCAAGTTCTTGTTGTGTTTGAGTTGAGTTTTCATCCAGTAGAGCTCGTGATTCCCCATCTTCCCATGCCAAGTCCAAGAGGGTCTTCTGAGTTATGCGGGCAATGTGAGATCCAGTGTTTTTATGCACCTGTATGACACCTTTCGTCCGATCTTTTCAAGATCACCAAAAACCGCGTCAACACCTCCACCTCTAATATAATTTTAGCCCTAAAATTAATTTGTAGAAGTAGAGCCATGCAAAGTACGTTGACCTATTTGCCCACTTCCGCTTAAACACCTATTTAGAGCCAGAGTTGCTAAATGTGTACGTTGGACGCGTGAACGGCCCCGGCAAACCTGACTTGTGCCTTGCTCTCTAGGTCGCTACGACCCTGTTGTCGACGACTCGGATCCAGGCTCCTCCCCTCCAGCCCTTCCTACCCCGGCTGCCATGGCAACCAAGCACTTGCAGTCGCGGAAGTACCGAGCCACTCAGCTTCGGGGTCCCTCGTCACGGGATGTTCAACTCAGTAAGTCCGCACTGGCGCCCCTTGCTTTGCTTGTGGCCGACGAGGCTTCCAAATGTGGTGGGAGGTGTTGGCGGCGAATCGCGAGCTCTCTCGTGTCACTAATTAATTCCCGATCATGATTGTGCGTGCTTCGCTTTCTGCTCTCCACACAATGCCACCAGTAACCATTAGAAGTCAGAGGAATGATTGGTTTGTTGAGGAACCTTAAAAGATTATGAAGACCGAAAATGACGAAGACTGAACCGTTTATTACATGACTTAATCCTGCTATGCTTTGTGCTACGCATTCAAGGCCACGCACACTTATTGACCAATAGGGTTCAGGCGAACCAGCAAACGCGTGGTACAGGTGCCGGGCGAGGTATATCCACAGATGTGTATAATCAGACATGTCCGCTTGATTGGGGTGAAGTCATAAACGGGTGCCTTAGAATGCGGCAACGGATTTGATAGACGCTCACTACATTGTCGTAATGAGCTGTCCAAGGCTTCCTGCTACCCAGAATTACCAAAACACCCTCACTTCGTGGCCAAACCCGCGTCTAATTTTTAATTCACTAAAAGGTTAGCGCGTTTCGCGTGGGCGAGTAATTATCGCACGTCAGTATTCCTTCAAACACCGTTCTCTATTCCATTCGATTGCCACTTGCCTCGTTTGAAGCATTAGTTCATCCAACCCTCATTTGGCATCACTGTTGCCAGTGGCAGCTGTAAAGGCGCACTTTACAAGTCGTAAGCGGGTGCTAATCTGGTGGAATGAGAAATTTTCGATGTTTATTCCTGCCTTTACGCGTTACCGTGTCTATGTTAGAGGATTGGCGCGTCATTATGGTCTCACGAACACTTTGTTTCGACCTTTCTCCGTTACTCCATCACGCCTTTCTAAATGTGCTATGGAAGCGGTTCAAGCTCCTTCAAAAACAAGCGCTCTTTTTCAACGTTGGTGGTTCGGTTTCCCTCTTTGACCTAGTTTGTTTTAATTCACATCTTTAAGGGCTCTAATTGTTATCCTCCCGGTAAAATTTCCCGTATCTGGCAATCCAGACCGGGTAAATGATGGTGATGATGATGACCTGTCAGAGGAGCGTCTTTAAATGAAACCGGGTGATTTGCCCACGACTTTTTCGTTTCGCGTTTCAGCCATTTCCCGTGACCGGCTCGACGTGCAGGCCTCGCGGTTGCCGAAGATCTTTCGTGGCAGCTCCAAGTCCCTGACGGTGCCGATGTCGCATGTTGTGGACTGCTCGCTCTGCGCCACCACCTCCGGCGACGTCTGCGACGTTCCCCTCTCCAAAGTACAATTCACAATCACCTACCTCGTAAGTAGTGCACCTTTACGCTTACGCAGCGTTCGGTCGTGTTTCGCGAACTTGAAGTTCTGACCAGCCAATGAGATAAGACCCTTTGGAGTTCATCCTTGTCGCAGAACTTGTGGATGCACCAAAAAACGTTGGAAACCACTTCGGAAATATTGAAGTAGTGTTCGTGTCAACACCAACTTGTTGAGTTTGTACTCATTGAAATGAATTTGGGTCAAAAATGGGCGTATTCAGTGCTTATTGTAACATAGTTTGCTCAGGACCTTTAAACCGGAGGTCCAGAGGCATGTAGTTGTACCTTAGAATGCTGAATGTCAGCCAACAGGTGCCAGTTTTTCGTCTGGCAATTTGATTTGATTCACCTTGGTGCCCTAAGCCGCAGTATTTTGTGTTTCTTTCCACACGAAGCCGTCGGTAGTGAGCCAGCAGGCCGCAACCACCACCTGCGCCTCCTCGGCGGGCAGGTCGTCTGCGTCGCAAATCGACGACGACGACGACAACGTCGCTGGCGCTGAGAAGGCCCTGGAAGCGAGGTCCGGCGTCGTCTGCGAGGACACGAAAAGCCTTGTCTTCGAGACGCAGTGGACGAGTGCACGGGCCATCTGCCACCAGCTAAACCTCATCTTCTCCTGCTGTCCTAGTCGAATTCGTGATGCCTACACCAACAGCCGCATCGCACCCCTGTAACATACACCCTCGGCCCCCAAATTGTGTCTTTCAATGCTATCTTCCCCCCTCCGTGACATGGGACAAATCCCTCACCTCGCAGCCCCTTTTTATCTGTGTGGCCATTTAACGTGCTTTGATGGTGGAGTTTTGTGCCTTCTGCCCATTTATTTTGTGATTATTGTTTGGGACAGAGTGAGAAGACCAAACATTCGTCTATTTTAACACTTGTCGATTTTGTGAACAGCTGTTTTGCTTGGCCTTTAGGTCGCTCTGCGTTAAAACATACTTCTGAGATGTTTACCTGGGCCCATTTTACTAAGTATTCAGTTTATCTAGGAACGAAAGTGTCCCCATCGATTTTTTGCCCTGGTAAAAGTTGTGGATCAGTTCCCGTGTTGTGAGGATCATAGCTTCCTGAACTGTGCGTGTGTGTAGGTGTAGCGTTAAACTGTGTGGGGTCTATGCTACGTTCCGCCGACACGCAGCGCCTTTCCAACCAGGACATGCCTCATCTGGACGCCGTTGAGTGCAGGTGAATGAGCCAATAGAAAGAGGGCGGTCCATGTGAACACAAAAGTTCAGGTGAATGAACCAATAGAAAGAGGGTGGGCCAAGTTAACACATAATTTGTTCTTATATGTGGTTGATTTTTGAAAAAGTACAATATTGAAAAAATATTCAGAAATACAGACCCGGAAATCCTAAATATCCAGCGATGTACTTGCGATTTGTGAATAAACCGCTTGAATGAGCGTGGACGATTACAACAACACGGGCTTATGTTTGATACAGTAGGGTCAATTAATCAATGCTGACGTCGTTTCTGGTGAATGTTTCTGCCTTTTTAAAAAGATTAATTGAATCAAATTTTTTCGCGTTGTTTTAGTGTCAGCCTTTGTGATGTTGCCTGCTTTTCACTCAAATCTGTAATGCGCTCAAAAGTTGCATGTTGTCAGATTTTAGGAACGAGGGATTTAATAACGAGAAGAAATTGCCACACAACCGTTTATTCATCACCATGGCAACATGGTGTGTCTGTGTGGTTATATCGATTGGAGAAATTGTGATTTGTGCGGGTCGCCTGTCTGTTTGGGTACCAGTTAAGCCAGAAACACGCCCAATGCCAGCTGCCTTTAGACAAATTCGTTCGCTTCTGTGACGCGCCAGCGTGTGCGTAAATCACCTCTATTTATTGCCTAGGGGGTCGCACGCCTTTGATTAAACATGCTTTCTAGCTAGAGCAACAAACTGGAAGCATGCTTGTCTTTCAAACATGCGAAGCAAATCGATTGATTCTGTAAATGCCTTGTCCACGTCGGAATGCGTGTCAACCGACTCATATGGATAGGCGTTCTTGTATGGATACTCGGCTATGCTTTGGTTTTCCTCGCGGCGTCAATACTCCTTTTCCAACGGCGCCAGGTCTTTATGCTGGTGTTCACCGCGGCACAGGTAACCCTCGTCAGCATCCTCGTCACAGTCTACGCTTGCTGGCTCATCATCAACATTGCTTCCGCCATCCAGACGTGGCGTACTTCCCGTCTGAATATGGTTGTCATCTTCCTCATCCAGATTTACATCAGTCTGGCAGTGGAAATGTACCTTCTGCATGCTATCTTCAATCACCGTGATGAACTCATATGGAATTTCCTAGACCACGCCGTGACACAACTGGTTGGGAAGTATGTCGACTCCAAGGATGCGGCTGACATTCTCGACTGGATCCACGAGACGTTCGAGTGCTGTGGGATAACCCAGTGGCATTACGAATGGTGGCTGGACGACAATGGTTGGATTCTGCCGAGAGTAAACCACACCTACGCCTGGGTCCCCCAGAGCTGCTGCATCCGAACGGCGTACTACAAGAATTGCGGAGTCGCGCGTCCAAGAAGGAAGCCGAGATCAACGAGCGACAATTCATCTGGAGGGGAAGAGTCGGAAGAGGAGAAGAAAGAAGACGAGGTGGATGATGGTGTCTTTGAAACCGGCTCCTACGCCGCCACGGATTGGTACACCCGACTCAATAACGAGCCCTGTCCTGACATGATTGTTGAGTACGTTGGCGAGTGGCCCACCTACATTCTGATGGCACTCATCTCCTTCACTGTTGGCAAGGCCACCATGAGCACGGCCGCTTCCTTTGGAATCATCAGCAAAGCGAATAAATAAACCCGAATATTTATGCTGCAACATGTCTTTTATCCGAAGCTTCCTAGCTAATTAATAAGTGGTTCGTTCGAATGGATGGGAAAAATACTTCCAAAAACAGATGATTTGAGCTTACGTACTTCCCTTTATGCTGTAATTTTGTAGTTCAATGCATAATATGTGCGCAGAGTTGTCCCCAGGCACTTTCGCAAAATCAATTCTTCCCCGCTTCTGATTGGCTGAGCTTCTGGATTTGGCGTAGTTGCCAAGCAAAGTCGTGTTTCTTGATAAAATTTGCATGCTTTTACTGTTTCTGCCTTTGGGCTATACCTTTAGGGTAATCGTCGATATGTAGCGAAAAAAATGACTTATAATTGTCCTGATTAGTTTACTATGCCCAGCATTCCCCAAGACGGCTCATCGTGAGTTAGGATTTCATCATTGCTTACACAGTTCCCCTTACCACGCCACCCCAGTGGGTGAGGCATCCGCAGCCCCATATGTGTTAATCCGCTTCATCCATCAGGTCAAAGTCATTTTTGACTTATATAAGTGGGTATATCCAGACAGATCACTCGGTTTTTTTCTGAGGAATTGAAAGCTTTCTGCACGAAGCCCTGCTTTGTCTTGAATTGGCGTAAGAGGGTGGAGGCTAGCGTCTGATAAGGGACCTTGGGTATCGGTTGTCTGAGGGAGTGTGTGATTCTGGTTACGGGCAAAACGTGACGCATTTATTTATTACCTGTTTGGTGTAGGTTTCCGACTCATGGTATGGTCAAGAAGATAGAGAGGAAGGCAAAAGAGAATGCTTTAATTAAGGCTGAAACAAGCCACAATCTAGTCACAAGCAGGTCGGGCGTAAGAGGGAAAACAGGGTCTTAGTATATCCTTGTCCTTGTCGTCCTGTTCTCCCGTTGGTCCGTTCCGGGGCGCTGCAGTGGAGACGGAAAACTCGTGAGCGGATTGGCTCTCAGTCTCCGGCTTGTCATTCAATGCCCACGTGACGCCTTACGGCCGGAAGTCGCACCCCCGATCACATAACGTCGCCAACATGGCGTGCTTCTCACCTTCGACCAATTGATTGACACCAATATGGCTGCTGTCTGTCACGCCGCTACAGGGGTGTAGCGGAATGACAGATGGCGGCCATATTGGTGACGGTGTTGGGCACGGCGTGGAGGCGGCATCACGTGACCGGTGG